CCGCCACCACCACCACCACCACCACCACCACCACCACCACCACCACCACCATCACCATCACCATCATCACCACCATCACCACCATCACCACCATCACCACCATCACCACCATCACCACCATCACCACCATCACCACTATCACCACCAGCACCACCACCGTCACCACAATCCCATCAGTCATCGTCTTCGATGGGTGGCAGGTGTGTCGCTCTACCATCTCATGGCTAGGAGCCCTACACTGCGGACCGTAATCGAAGCTGTATTATGCTTTACTATACTATATCATATTAGATCATAATATATAACATCATATTAGAGTATATTAGATTGTATTATATTATAGTATATTAGTTTAGAGACCTCGGAAGATCTGTCTCGATGTCGGTTTGATTGCTGAGGATTCTGCTGCGACCCCCACCTCAAGGTGCACTCTTCGAATCCTAGACCATCCCCCGCGGAAGCCCAACCACGATCAAAAGCTGGCCATAGACCCCAAACCCGAAACCCTATGAAACAAAACGGCTCGTGTTTGACCATGAACCATCGATGCTGAGGCGCCCTCGAACTACGACGAGCTGCAGCGCAGGTGATCGCCCCCTGCGGGAAAGTTGATTCCAGCGCGAGGTTGCCGTCGTGTTCGAGTCATCGCAGATGCTCAGAACTGAGATCTGCTTTTGCACCAATGCATGGGTCATCTTCAACTCCAAATCATCTCGGTTGCACAAGAGCAGAAAACCAGAAGCACTTTTTCTGGAGATCTTCACGATCACAACTCATCCCCAAGCCTCCAAGTCCTTCTGATGCAAGGCCTTTCGACTTCTCCTCGCACTGATCGCTATCAGTCTGCTGACTTCCTTCTTGCCACTGTCGCTAGAAGAATGGCGTCACCACAATTACAATTACTACTACTATCAGCCTGTTATGGTTGTGAGTCTTATTTCTATTGTTGTTACCACTAGTTTGGCTTCCAGCGGGCCAGGAGGCAGATGAAGAAAGGGGTGACGGTCGAGGAGGAGGCTGGCCGCGAGCAGCAGTCCCTGGACTCAGGGATTCACACTCAGGGTCAAAAGGGTACTATCGCTACCACTTCTGCTTCTGCTGCTGATGCTGCTGCTACTACTACTACTACTATTATTATTACTACTACTACTACTACTACTACTACTGCTACCACCTTCTTCCACTCCCACTCCTATTTTTACTACTTGTACTGCCAGCACTGCACAGTTTACTACTTGTACTGCCATCGCTAAACAAGAGCTACGCAGATACTTGGTAGAGGGTATTTCAGTTGAGATCGTCGTATTACTGGTCACAGACTTCATAGCAAAGCATCAGCACAGTTCAACCCTGAACCCTAAACCCATCGCAAGCGAGACACTTCGACCCGAACCCGTGGCAAGCGAGACGGTTCGACCCTAAACCCTAAACCCTAAAACCCATGGCTTCAACCCACAGTTCGACCTTGAGAGCTGCTGTCATTGGGCTTCGGAGGGCTTCGGAGCCCAGTGCCAAGCCCCAAACCTGTAGAACCGATCCTGGGCTCTCCAAGAGGAATAGAATTTTAAGAGTGTTCTATTCACAATCTTCGTAGTATTCTTACTAACGCTATTATTGCTAGTAGTAGTCAGCAGCCCAGACCATGAAGCCCGGAACTCCAAGAACTAGGGTTTCACATGAGCGTGTGATGAAGGCGAGCCCAATACCACCAACGTTGCTTGCAGCGGCTGAATCTGGGAAGGCTTTTCTCTCAGAATCCATGTTTTGCCCTTTTGCAGTCCGGTCTCTACCTCCCACGCCTTGATGTATGCTGAATCCGCCGCGAAGTCCATCAGCCATGAGTCCCTTTCGAAGGCCATTGAAACCCTTGTAACCCGTGCCAGCTATTTCTGGCCGCATTTTGTTCCTTCGCTGCCACATGCAACTGGCATTCTGTCTAAGCATGTTGAGACAGCTTGGCCTGAGGGCTCTTCTGACTTCGGGGGGACATTCACTCGGTAGTCGCATCTCCATAAAGAATACTACTACAGTATTATTTTAATGACAATACTAATGGCTCCCAGCTCCAGCGCTCAGGATCCTGAGGAGGTGGCTACGCGAACAAGCCATTCCGACACGTGCCTTGCACGGAAAAGGATAATAATACTAATATCAGTGATAGTAATACTAATAACAATTTTAATAACAATAATAATAGTAGTACAATACTAATAAGAGTAACAGTAATAGTAATACTATTCTCTGAACGTGGGGTCGGTTCGACTTGGCTGATTCGGTCCCTTCCTGGAACTGTCACGGTGCTTCTGCCATAAACAGAACCCTTGAAGTTTCAAAGGGTTAAAGGCTGACCCTGAGCCCTCTGCACCGCCAAGGGCGTGCCCAGAAGAACCGAAGCACTTAACCGGTATTCGGCCGCTGCAGTGTCCATTTGGGAGTTGCTTGTGGGAGTGATTTTGCAAGTCCCAGCCTCGAGCCTAAGAAGCCCGCAGAAACTCTGGGTCGCCACAAAGTGAAGCATTTCCCCTACCGGCTGGAGTCTTCAATGCAAAGCTCGCTTGCGCTTGTATTCATAAGCAAACCAAGAGCGGCGTCGGTGTACGCTCGGATTAAGAACCGGTTCTGCATCGCCAGTGTATCCATCCAAAACACTCGAGCTGACACCTGGAGCTTGGTCTTGCTTCAGCACCGAAAACTCGAGGAGCCTTTAGCAGTTGCACCTGAAAGTCGAACCTCAGGCCCTGCATCCTGAGAACGGTCAGAAAAGAGAGATTGAGTTGAGTAACCACAGGCCGTGGCAAGGACCTAAACCCTAAACCCGAAAGTGATCGGTGGAATGGGACTCAGTTGGCCTGAGGTTGGAGCAGGGTGACGAGGAACCACCTCGTCAGAGCCAACTCTTCAGTGGGGTGTTGAGGCTGGACTTCCGTTCAGGCTTTGGAGTGGAGAAGAGATGCTGCAAGAAGTCAGGCAAGTATACGGCATTATATCTACTACAACAACGCAGACGACGATTTGTACTTTGGCAGTCTTCGTGCGTTTGGGTTTTCGGAATCGATTTCTAGCGATACTTGTCCTTGTACAACTTGTGGAAATCGTTGGTGTCTCCTCTGAACCCCAAACTCCAGAAACCCACTATACAACCCCTTTGGAAGAGGTTCACCCTTAGAGGTACCCTAAACCCTAAACCCTAAACCCTGTACGCTCTGTAGCTGCAGCTACTGCAGCCCCCTTCACAGTGTAAGCCTCCTCGGGGGCAGGCCAGATCGCAGAGAAAAGGTCACTGCACAAAATAAAAAACCTTAAACCCTAAAACCCTTAACACTTAGAGGAACCCTTCAGCCCTTAGACGCCCCTGGCCTGGGAGGCGGCGGACACTGAACAAGTTTCGGAGCTGGCTCGGCTTATGGCTCAGCATACGGGAGTTTCCGAAAACAAGGGGTACCTTATTTTGGGATCCTTGTAAAAAGGAACCTACTGTTTGGGGTACTATATTAGCTCCCTAGTTTAGGAAACCACCATATGGCTTTGGGGTTCAGGAGCGGGGTCTTGTGAAGTTGCAACTTATTGCAAGACGGAGGTGTTTGGGCGTGGTCGTTGTGATGGTGGTGGCGCTGGTGATTCAGGGGATGCTGTACGAAAACGGTTTCTTGAATCATCGCAATAGTCGTGGCAGCAGTAGTGGGGGGCGTATTAGTGGTCGTAGGAGTGGTCGTGGTGGTGGTACCACCTCTGCTGCCTTTAGTTCTGAAGCTGTAACCCAGATCTAGAGACCTTCAAAGTCGCCGCGACCCCTTCATGGTATTCCCCATGGTTTCTCTTAGAGTCACGCCCCCTATGGCCCTTATCGTACCCTTTCTAGCACCCCTGATGGTACCCCTGATACTTCCCCCTTATGAGGCAACTTTGTGACCCAGAAGAGCTTTGGGCCGGGCGTGTTAGAGGCCATGGACGGAGGCGCCTTGGCCCTTCATTCCAGGGAGGCTTTGAATCACTGGAAACTCCAGGTGATACGTGCGTAGTTCTCTAACTTGGCGTCCCTTACTGGGTCCTCCTTGTAAACAGGATCCCTAAAATGGACCCTTACTTGGAGAACTGACCATTTGGCTTACTACTTCGAGCAGAGTTTGGGGGGATTATTGAATGCGTGAAGTTTCGGTTTAAGCCTCGGAAGGACACAATGGCAATATAACATAGGGGCCTCACTAATTCGATAAGGTTTTGGGATTTGGGCGGTGGATTCTAGTGTGCGTGTATATATATATATATAGTACACATGTGTGTACATATATATATATATGAATACATACCTGCAGCAAAGTCTTGAAGAGACGATGTGGGCCATGGGCGAGGTTCTGATGAGGAGGAGGAAAGCACCGATCAGAAGGCGGTTGTCAACGACATTTGGGCATCTCGACTTTGCTCAGGGGCCTCAGGGGCTAGGAAGTCGGGATAATATGAGCCGTTGCACGCTTCGGATTGGCAGTTCCCAAGCATTTCGGAGCCGGGTTTTTGGTGTGAGATGAATCGTAGGGAAGTGGGGATTGTGAGATGCAGAAATGTTGCTGTTCGGCCTGGAGACGTTTCTATGTTGGGCCGGTGTGGGAGCTCTTCGGCAAGGCACAAAGGACAAGAAGGATCATTTGGCCGGCCATGTGTTCATGGAGTTCGCTGTTGGTGTTTATGTTTTGGTAAGTTGTTGTCGTCGTGGTCGTCCTGATTGTCGAGCAGTGTTGGTGTTGAGTTGTGGCAATGGTAAACATACTATGTTACACGATGCTATGCCATATACTAAAGCATACTGTAACATCATATAGCATACATCAACATATTATGATATTCTCGAAGAAACCGTAACATACGAACCTTATGATATACGATATATGACAGACGAGTTGTTTTGACTTGGCATTGAGGCTCTGAAAAACCACTTCCTGGCGGCGTACCTGAATGGGGAGTTGGATATCCTGGACAGGTGCCTGCAGGCTCGGACAGTCTCTCGAGAAACTGCTGGCTTTCTCAAGGAAGCATAGATAGGGGCCTTGATCATTAGAACAGG